GCGGGGGGGGGGGGCACATTTCAGCAGGACTGAGCACAGCAGCCAAACGGGGCGGGGAGAACACAGGAAAGGGGTGCCCAGGGCACAAGACGGCACCCAAGGACGGTCAGGGTGTCTCAGGCAAGAGTCCCCAACCTCGGAGAACCACCGTCCAGGCAGGGGCATGTGGGGCCAGGAGGAGGAGGAGGGCCCGTGGGCGCAGGGGCACTGGCAGAGTGAGTCTTTGGAATCCCCTTTAGGAACCTCTGTTTCCGGGAGAAACCAGCCTCCAGGAGGCTCTGCATGCACGGCAGCCCCTAGCCCCGGGGCCCTGCCCGCCCTGTGGCTGCTCCGGCCCGCCCGGGCTCGCGTGGGGGCTGAGCACCGCAAGAAGGGCTTTCCTGGGGCCCGGACGGGAGGCCGCTCCCGTGGGTGCCTCGCCCACTCGGCGCCCCCAGTGCCCAGGGAGCTCTGATCGAGCACAAGCCCTCGGCTGGGCAGGGCCCAGATGGGCCCTGTGGATGCACCGCTCCCCCAACCCCAGGCTTTGCGGCGCCGACCCACTCACCAGGCTCTCTGAGGCCACAGGGTGGCTCTGGGGAGCCGGGGCCCCCTGGGCTGCCAGGGGCAGGGATAGGCCTTGTCGGGAGCCCAAGGACCAGCGCCCCCACTCCCCTTTCTAGGCCTGCCCCTGCTGCGGTTAACTCCTTCCTCCCTGGGGTTACTCGGAGGTGGTGCCCCCAGCCCTGGCCCCGGTCTGCAGCTAGGTCTCTGCTTGGGTCCAAGGAGAGCACAGATCCGCGTTTGTGGCGCCAGCCCCACGCCCCTGCTCACGGCCTTTGTCTACAAGGTGGGTCGCCGCGCTTCCCAGGGAGCCGAGGGGGCTCTCCGCCGGCCAGGCCGAGGCCCAACGCGGGCTCAGCCCCAGATCCCCTGCCGCGCCCAGGGCCGGAGGGCTGCGGGGCTCCCCTTGCGATCTTGCAGGGTTTGAGGTTACTCTCGCTCATGGCGGGCGTCTCTGCCGGCCCATGCCAAGGTCCCCGCGAGCGAATGCTGCTGTCATCGCCTCCGTTTTCTCTCTGGGTCCCCACCCCCACCTAGAGGAGTGTGGGAAGGGAGGGGACAGCAGGGCGACAGGAAAGGTCACCTCCTCCTGCCTCGATTTAAGGAAAAGGGAAGCTGGACCCGCACCCAGGTGTCCCTGCCAGCCGCCGCTGCAGGACGTGTTTTTTTTGTGGCACCAACGTGGGCGTGATAAGCCTCCCACGACCGACAGCCTGTCCCTGGGAGGCCCCGTCTGTGCAGACCCCGGGCGGGATGCAGGACCCTTCTCCGCGGGTGACCCCTGAACCCCGCCGGAGGACAAGGGATGGGGTTCCCCACGCAGGCAGACACACACGTCCGGGGTGGCCGGCCAGGTCACACAGAGAGCCCGACCCCAGGGGCAAGGCAGTCCGGGTGGGCACCGCGCCGCGAGGATGGGGGCCACGGCTCCGGTCCAGGTGTTGAGACAGCAACGCAGGCTTCTCTGCGCTGGAGAAAGCACGGCCAGAGCGGTGCCCGCGACCCCGCAGGAGGCCAGCTGGAGCCTCCAGCACGTTTTAGAAGCTTCCAGAAACAGCTTGAGGTTTCCTTGTAAGACAGAATTCCCCCTCTGACGGCCCCGGCGCACACCAACCTGGTGCAGCTTCGGCCCAAATTCGCACAGCCCACAGCCTCCCCCCAGCCCTTTGGATGGTGCCCATTCTCAACGGGCGCTCTTTTCTGGGTCTGTTTTAAAGTTTGGGTGGGCTTTGGGAAGTCTGAGGACCCCTCCCTTAAATTTTTTCTCTCTTCATTCCTTTCTCTTTCCTCCGCTCCCCTTGAACCCTGATATCTCCTCCCCGCCCCAACCCGCCCCAGCAGCCTGGGACCCCAATCCAGGGTCCGGGTTTGCCCAGGGCTGACGTGCTGTGTGCAGCGTTCCCCTCGCAGCCAGGACTTCGGGCCTGGGCGCAGGAAAGAGCGCAGCGTTGGCCCCTGCCTTGGGCTCCTTTAATGCCAAGGCAGGGAAAGACAACAGTGCCCAAGAAACTGGAAAATACTTCTCAGGAGGCGGCCTAATTGGTTTTCCGGGGACGGCTGGGAACGAACCTGGCCAGCCTGGCGGGCCCCGGGCTCTGCCTCCGCCCCCCTGCGCCTCCCGAGACCCAAATAACCAGACAGACCCTGGCTGGCGTTGATGGTGGGGCTCCCGGAGCTGCCGGAACCCCCGCCCCCAGCCCTACTATGCCTGTGAGATCGGGCGTTCCCACAAACCTCAGCGCCCCCATTTTCCTAGGGGTGGCAGACGGCCCAGCTTCGTGTTTTGAGGCCCCAGCAGGGTCCCTGGCAGGTGTGTGCCCAGCCAGGCCATTCGGTGAGAACACCTTCAAATGGGGGCGGGACAAAGGAGAGACAGGAGTCACCCCAAGTGAGAAGCGGCGTCCCCGCCCTGCTGGGAGCTTTCCGAGGACCCCCGAGCCTCGCCAGACGCCTCCAGAGCCTACGCAAACGCAGCACCTCCGCACCCTGCTCCCTGCAGCCCTCTCCCTGCCCCTCCTCCCTGGGAGCAGCGGCAGCAGCTCTTGCATCCTGGAGCCTGCAATGGGTGGCAGAGAGGACAGGACCCGGGTGGGGACGTGGGGGAGAGCTGAGCTGGGCTAGGGGACGCTTCCAAGCCTCGTGGCGGCCTGGTGCCCGCACTGCGGCAGGGGGCTGCTTTTCTGGCCCCTACCCTGCCATTCCCGGCCTGGCAGCGGCCACAGGGCGTCCAGGCCAGGAGCCTGCTCCCCAGCGGGCCTGGCCGTTCGGCACACCCAGCAGCCCGGGCCAGCCGGTTCTGGGCACCGGGCCCCCTGCTGACCCCTCCCCACCCACAGCGGCGCTTTTCTCGTGCCAACACCCCCACACACCCTCACATTGCTCTCCCGGGTGTTTCCAAAGTTTGCCCATTTCCATAAAGAATGCATTTTAAATGAGGGCAGGCACACCTGAGGTCGCCAAGGTGCTGTGGGGGTGGGGGCATCCGCAGCTGGGGGCAAGGCGGTCAGAGTCAACTGGAAGGAGCCCGAGGGAGGAGGGGGAAGCGGAGAGGAAACAGAAGTTCAAGTTGGCCCTCTGACGGCAGCTGGGAAGGAAGTTCAGGAAGGGACAGAGGAAGGAGGGAGGGAGAGAAACACATCCCTCTCCCCCACTGTTTCATTCCTGCTGCTCCTGTTCGATGGGCCCTGCCATCCGGGTAAGCTCGTTTAAAGGAAATTAAGAAAAAGAAAACGAGGCGAAAGGCCTGGTGGCCCCTCCGTCAGGGCAGAGGCTGCGGGAGGGGCGTGTGGGCAGCGGCTCTGGGGCGCGGACTCCGCGGGCGCTTTCGGAGGTTCAGCTGAACCGTCGGCCTTGCTCCGCTTCGCGACCAGGGCGAGGCGGTCGCAACCACGGGCTCCTTTCTTTCTCCCCCGCGCGGCGCCCGAAACCGTGTTGCCGCGCGCGCGCGCGCGCGCCCTCCACCCGCACGTTTCATGAGGACGCGCGTCCCCGGGGACCCTGCTGCCTGCGCGCGCCGCCCTGCCCGCGCCCACGCCCACGCCCACGCGCACATGCACACTCACACCGAGGGCCGGCGGGAGGAGGGAGGGTCCTGCGCGCCGGCGCTGCGTTCAGCACAGGAATCTGCCGGGTCACCAAAGTCAAATGTAAGTGACAACTTCCCGCTCCAGCAGCAAGGCACGCGGGCTACAAAAGTCCCTTTGTATCTCGGCGGCTCATTTAATATGATTTATGCATTTTTGTGCAAGGAATTGTGGGATTTTTCCCCACGGTAAACAATATGGAAATGGTAAAAATAGCCATCGCCCAGCGCGCGTCCGAGGCGCACCGCGGGGGCGGCCCGGCGTGGCGCTGGCGGCGGCCCCTCTGACCCCTGAGCCGAGCGGTGGCAGCGGGGGAAGCGCCACCAAGGACGGGGGACGCGGTCGCGGTCGCGCGGGGTGGGGGCGCCCGCGCCGGAGCCGGAGGACGCGGCTGCTTTAAGGGGGGGAGGGGCGGCGGCGGCGGAGGAGGGGCGGCGGGAGCCGCCTGTCACCCAGCGGCGGCCGGCGCGTCACGTGGGCGCGCGGCGCTGCGGCCATTGGCCCGAGGCACGTGTCCAGGCGACCGGCCCGCGACGTCACTCGAGGGGGCTCTGTTAAAAATAAGAACAAAATCCAGAGTGAAAGTGTCTCCGGTTGCGCGAAGTGGCCTGGAAATTTCCCAGCCGGCGCGGAGGCCTTGGCGGCGAGGGCGCGCAGACAGCGAGCGACGCGGGCGGCCCAGCCCGGCCCGGCCTCCCGCCTCCCACCCATGCGACTCGGGCCGCGGGGCTCGGCGGGGCTCGGCGGGGGCGCGGCCGCACGCCGGTGGGGCGCCCCGGCCCGCAGCGGGGCGGCAGCCGAGCACAGCGCGGGCCCGCGGGTGTCCATGTGCGTGCTGGCGGCGGCGGGCGCGCTGACCGCTCGCGCCCCGCACCCTCGAGGGCCGGCCCGGGCGCGCGGGCGGGGGCGGCCGGGCGGCGGCGGCGGCCCGAGCGGGCCCGGGCGGGCGTGAGCACCGGGGAGCGCGCTGCCTGCATGCGCGCAGCGCCAGCCCCGGGCGGCCGCGGCGGCAGCGCCGGAGCCGGAGGCAGCCGCACTCGGAGGGGAGCGCGGAGCCGGGAGGCGCCCCGGGTCCCCGCCGGACCATTGTGACTGTCCGGCGCCCGCGTGCGCCGCGGAGGCGAGGACTGGACTCTTTTGAATCTCCTGGCATTTTCGAACTCAACTCGTGGATTGCAACGGCCCCGCCGCGAGCGCGGCCGGCGACTCGGAGGACCACAGCCCTGGCCTTGGCCGCTGCGCACGCCCTAGGAAAAGCCTCAGTGGGGTCGGGGCGCGGGCCGGCCGCGGGGGTCTCCGTGTGCGCTGCGGGCGGGCCGAGGGCCGATTGGAGCGGGTCCCCGGAGAACCAATTTGGGATTTGTTGTGAACAGCATGGAGGAGAATGACCCCAAGCCCAGCGAGGCGGCGGCGGCGGCGGCGGCGGCGGAGGGGCCGCGGCAGCCGGAATCCAGCCCCGGCGGCGGCTCTGGCGACGCGGACACTGGCCGCCGGCGGAATCTGATGCTGCCTGCCGTTCTGCAGGCGCCGGGCAACCACCAGCACCCGCACCGCATCACCAACTTCTTCATCGACAACATCCTGCGGCCCGAGTTCGGCCGGAGAAAGGACGCGGGGACGTGCTGTGCCGGCGCGGGAGGAGGAAGAGGTGGCGGCGGCGAAGGCGGCGCGGGCGGCGCGGACGGAGGCGGCGGCGCGGGCGGCGCCGAGCAGCTCCTGGGGTCCGGCCGGGAGCCCCGGCATAGCGCTCCCTGTGCGCCGAGCGCGGGCGGGCCGCTGCCCGGCGGCGGCGGCGGCGGCGGCGGCGGCGACTCTCCGGGCGAAGGAGAAGGCGGCTCCAAGGCGCTCTCGCTGCACAGCGGCGCCAAGAAAAGCGGCGACGCCGGCGGCCCCCTGGACGGGGCGCTCAAGGCCCGCGGCTTGGGCAGCGGCGGCGACCTGTCGTTGAGCTCGGACTCGGACAGCTCGCAGGCCAGCGCCAACCTGGGCGCGCAGCCCATGCTCTGGCCGGCCTGGGTCTACTGCACGCGCTACTCGGATCGGCCTTCCTCAGGTGAGCCGGCGGGGACCCTGCGCCCGGGGCCCGTCGCGGGGAGCCCGCGGGGCTGCCGGGAGGCGCTGGCGCGGGAACTTGCCGGGAGGAAGAAGACACCGAGACACCCCTCCCCAACACACACAAAGACGCTCACACGGCGACATTGTGTGCGGCTGACGCTGGCCCGGGCTGCGGCCAGGCGGCCAGAGAGTTAGGAGCGATTCGCCAGGGGGCACAGGCTTCCTAGATCGGCAGGAACGACAGGACCTGCTCCCTCCCTTGCCTTTCTGGGCCTCTCCGCACAGCCGCTAATCCCCCTCCGCTGGCTGGAGTTTATTTGGTGGGAACGGGGGTGGCAGGAAAGCAGGCCCGGAAGCTCGCTGCTTAGTCCCTTCTCGGGTCTGTCCAACTCAGCCTGGACCCGGGACCCACGCATAGCCCACCCCTGACCTAGACTCTTTTTGTGACCCAGAAACCCCGGCCACGGCCGGGGAAGAAGGCGCGGCTTCTGCTCTCCGCTGGCCGCTGGCCTGGGCAGCCCTGGGCAGCGCGGGCATCATCGGGAGAGGGAAGGGCGAGCAGAGGCGCCCTTTGCGCTCTGCCCAGTTTTATTTGGTTTTATTTGCTGAACTCGTGGCCGGGGAGTGCGGTATCCTCCTCGTACTCTGCTTGGCGGAGGGGGCCGGCAGTCCCCCCCACGGAAGGGACCTTCTCCCCGAGGTCTCCCTGGCCACCCTGGGGTAGGAAAGCAGCAGGTTTTGCAGAGGCGGTGTGCTGAGGCGCGGGGTGTAGTTTTCGTAGGCCGGAGACTTTTAAAAGCTCAGTCCAAGTCCCCATGAAGATCATCACCCGCATTAAATGCGGGTTCGCAGCGGTGACCGGCCATGAGGAACAGGCTCTATTTGTCCGGAGCTGGCCGCGCGGACCCGACCTCCTGCCCCCGACCCTCAGCTGGTTTTCGGGGGGGCCATGGGCCCACACCCCAGCACCGCTGAGGCACTTTGGCGGCCTTCCCGCAAAGGTGTGTGTAGCCATCTCTGGGGAAACCCAAATTTCTCCAGTTAGGTCTGAAATTTGCTCCATTGTTCTCGCTTCCCTCCTTTGTTAATATTTAATTAACATAGAGGCTCACAAAGGGGCGGGCGAGGAGCCACGGCCGGCTTTGTGCGGCCCCAGCCGCGGAGCGCCAGGTCCCTGCGGCCGCAGGAGCCGGGCGCGAGGCCTGGCCGGCCGCCGGCCTTCCCGGGCTGAGTCGTAATCGTAACAATGAGTCCCCCGTAAGATCCCATGTGTGTTCCTTGGCGTTCAAGAAAGAGAGCGAGGTGGAGAGTGTTCCTGCTGCGAAGGTTTGGTTCTGTTTCTGAGACTCCTAAGTGTTTCGTTTCGAAAGAAACCCCAGGAAGAAAGGGAACTAAACGTGCTGCTTTTCGGGAGATTTCCTTCGCGGAAAAGGCGTGTTTTAGCGGGTTGACCCATGTCTGTGGGCGCGCCAGGAGCAGAGGAGTTTGGGGGTCAGGGGCACAATTGGGTGGCAGGGGGAGGGAGTGGAGACCCGGCTCCATCCAGCAGGGACGGGTCGCCCGGCCCCTTTGGGGCCTCCCAGAGCCCCCTCCTGGCCCCTTTCTGCGGACCCCAGAGTGCGGCCCACCGGCCCACCTCCCCGAAGAATCCGCACCCTCAGGACCAAGCCCCACCGGCTGCCGGGAGCCGCACCCTCCGCCTCTGCAGATGGCGGCTGAGTGCAGCCGTGGGTTGCGCGCGAGTGTGGGTTTGTTTCACAATCTAAAAAGCCGGGAGTTTGAACCCAACGGCTCCTGGCGCCCCCTCTCTGGCGCCCACAGCCCCTCTTCGGGGAAACTGCTTGATCCGCTCGGCGGGAAGAAAGTTCTCTGAGCCCACTGCGTCCCGGAGCGCCCCAGGCCTTCCCCGGGCACTGAGCACAGCCCCTGAGCTCTTCCCCCCCCCCCCCCGCACGCCACACCCTCCCGGTCCTGGTCGGGTGCAGCCGTTGTCGGCGGCCGGTGGTCCCCCAGCGCTGCAGGGCCAGACCTGGGGTCCTGGCTGCCCGAGGTCCAGCCTTCTGCAGTCTCCAGCCACAGGCGCCTGGTGGAAGTCGGGATGGGATCTCCCAAAGCTGGTTCACTCACTTCGCAGCTGGAGACCCAGAGGTACAGCCCCGCGGCCTCCCACCCCGGCCCCCCAGCCTTTGCGGCCTCCCACCCTGGCCCCCCAGCCTTTGTGGCCTCCGTGCTCGGCTTGCACACCCTCGTTCTCACGCAACAAAAAGAAGCGCTTCCCTCTGCCCCTTGCTCAGGCCTTTACCGGCCTCGGGAGTCTTAGGAGACGGTCCCAAGCCAACCTCAGGCGCTGGGAGCCGTCCCAGCCACGGGAGGCCTGCGTGGGCTCAGGGTGTGAGTTCTCTGCTCAAGGTCAGCTGGGCGCCCTGCGGCCTGCAGTCCGGGTTGGGGGAGGGACCCTGGCAGGGCCTGGGCCCCGCTGCTCTTTGCGCGGGGACTGGGGAGACTAGGCAGTGGGGGAGCTCGGACTGGCCGGGCTGCTTCCCCGCCCAGAGGAAGACTCTCGTGTTTGTTCCTGTCCTTAAAGGAAACAATGAGCTTGGGCCCACGGGCCAGTGGGGGACGCAGGTCTCTGGGCCCGTCCCTTCCCAGGGCCCCCCGGCCCGTGGCTCCCACAGTTCCCAGCGCCCTGTGGGCGTCCCCTGCAGGGCTCCTGAGGGAGCCGCTTCGAGGCCCCAGGACCCCTCCTGCTACTCCGTCCCCCTCTCCCCGCCGTTCTTCCCCTGCCTCCCCGCCTCCTACCCAGCACCAGTGCCCACGCCGCCCTTTCTCCTGGACAGAGCCTCAGGGCGGGCCGGGAAGTTGCAAGGGCTTGCTTTCCTGCGGGGGTTTCCCTTGCACCTGGAGATCTTTGCCGGAGTTCTGTGCTGTACCCCACCCCCTTCACCGGCCCATACCCTCTCTCAGAGGCCTGGGTTGCGGGGGCAGGGGCGAGCCTGGGCCGCCCGGTCCCCCTAAGTCCAGCCCCAGCTCCAGCCCGGCTTCCCTCCAGGTTGGCCCCATGACCTTGGGCGCCCCTCCGCACGCAGCCGCTCGCCCCGCAAGCAGCACGCAGGCCCGCAGCCCTAACCTTTTTCTCTGTCCTCCATGCCTGCCCAGGCCCCAGGTCCCGCAAACCAAAGAAGAAGAACCCCAACAAAGAGGACAAGCGGCCGCGCACGGCCTTCACGGCGGAGCAGCTGCAGAGGCTCAAGGCCGAGTTCCAGACCAACAGGTACCTGACGGAGCAGCGGCGCCAGAGCCTGGCCCAGGAGCTCAGCCTCAACGAGTCGCAGATCAAGATCTGGTTCCAGAACAAGCGCGCCAAGATCAAGAAGGCGACAGGCAGCAAGAACACGCTCGCCGTGCACCTCATGGCCCAGGGCCTGTACAATCACTCCACCACGGCCAAGGAGGGCAAGTCCGACAGCGAGTAGCCGCCGCCGCCGCCTCCACGCCGCCGCCGCGGGCGTGCCCACCTTGCAATAATCTAAAGTCACAGAAAAAGGGCCAGTGTATAAACAGTATACCAGCATTCCTAGGGAAAAGATCACGTATTAGCTATGGTTCTGCAATATTCTATGTGTATATAATTTACAGGTGGTGTAAAATCCGAAATATCTGACTATAAAATATTTTTGATTTTTTTGTGTTTATGAGATTATGCTAATTTTATGATTTTTTTTATTGCCGAGGGAGCTGCTTAGGGTTTCTTTCTTTCTTTTTTTTTTTTAATCCTCTAAGCTCCATGGTGGGACATGGGACACTTTTTTTTTTAAATTTCAAAAGATAAAAATTAAAACAACTTGCTGAAGTCCAAAGATTTTTATTGCTGCATTTCACACGACTGTGAACCGAACCGAATAAATAGCTCCTACTTGGTCTGTGAGCTCTGCCACTTTGTTCCCGTGGGCCTGGCGCGGTCGGCTGCGGGGTGCTCCCCGGCCCCCGCCTGGGCGGCCCCAGGGCCCTGGCCGGCAGTGGGACTGCCAGGGTCCCCGGAGGAGAGCAGAGAGGGTGGGGGGCCTTGGCCACCGAGGGGGCTGTGCCCTGGTGCCAAGGCCTGCCGGGCTGGGGGCCCGCGGTGGGCCTCCACCTGGCCCCACTTTGCTCCCCCCTCCTCCTGCCTTCCCTCCCTGCCCACCCTCCTCCTCCTCTCCAGGCCTCTGCGTGCTTCCGTCTGCCTCTGTATTTGTATCGCTGTCCCCTGTCCCTCCGCCGGAAACCAGCGCCAGCTCTCTGGCCTCTGGGCCCCAGGGCTGCGGGGCTGAGGAGCCCAGGAGCAGAGGAGCGACCCTCCTCGTTCCAGGCCCGGCTCCGGGCCCCTCCGGCGGCTCCGACAGCCCCCCGCCCCGCCCCCGACGCGGACGGAGGCCCCTCACCTCGAGGCAGGCAGAACCCTCCGGACAGAGTTGGTCTTTTTTTCCTTTTTCTTTCTCTTTCCTTCCTTTTTTTTTTTTAAAGTGGCCACTCCTGGTACAGAGAGCATTTCTCCAAGGTACAACGTGTGTGTGGGTCCATCTGTACGCATGCGTGGACACGGGCGTGCGCCTGTGGTCCCCCAGCGCTGGGACACGGGGCTCCCTTGACTTTTAACAGCTCTCCCACCGCCCCCCCCCACCCCGGGACCAAGGGAAGGAAGCAAGTGTGTAAATAATCATTTCTCAGCCCCTTTTGTCTCTTCTTGTTTTTTAAAATACACATTTTATTTTTGAAGGTGTGGTAACTGTAAATTAAATATATCCAATATATCCCCGCCACGTACGTATATATATATCAACAAGCGCATTATTTCTCTCTATCACGCCACACCGTCTTCTGTCTAGTGTACGGAAAAAAGAATCCCGTCCAAGCAGCCGTCTGCAGCCGGGGCAGCCGGGGGCGCCCACGGCCGGCAGGAGTCTCGGCCGGCTCCCCGAGGACTGAGGGTGACCTCCTCTCTTTGCCTTAAACGCCCTGATGTCACTGCGAGAACTGTCTCACTCTGTACATACTAGAGTCCACCTTTTTAAAAAGGAAGCTATAAAAACACAAAGTGGTCATTGAACATTCTGTGAATACCCATCTATCTGCTGCTTAGGAAACGCAATGCAATGGTTGCCTTTTTAGCAGGAAGCAAAGTCTTTCGGTTTTTCATTTAAGAATTTTGTTTTTTAGTTTATAAAATGTGCATTTTACAGTTCCAGTGTCAAATATTTATAATCTTATGAGAAATGAATGTTTCTATTCCCAACTGTGGTTATCAAAATTGTGAACATTCCCTCTGCATTTTTGTGTGTTGAAAATATTGAAAGTTACATTAAATAAAAAAAACACTTTATTGTAAAATATTGTTTGTCCCAGGTGGAGTGACTAGTTTTCCTCCCTCGTTCCTGAGACCAGGCCCCGCCCGGGCCTCCTCTCACTGCGCAGGCGCTGCCGGCCTTTGCCTCGATCCCACGAGGGCTACACAGGCCCGGGTGATTGCAAAAAAAAAAAAAAAAAAAGGCACTTTGGACATTTTCTATGTGAGCACAGAACAACCAAAGTCACCGAAGGACGCATCTCTTGAGCAGAAGAAACCGTTCAAAAGTATGGGTGCTATTCCACTGAGTAAATATTTAAAATCCTGCAAAAAGCAACAGGTATCCCATCCCCCCTGGCGAGGAACTTGGCTTACGTGGCAGACTCTGGAGGATCTCCTCTTTCACGCTGTGTCGTCGCTCTAACCGCAGGAAGTAAAGGACCAGGACAACATCCCCAGGCCCACGTGGGCAAGGACCGGCTCTGCGTGGGTCCCCGAAGCCGCTGGGCCGGCGCAGATCCACCTCCGCGAGGCCACGCAGGGCGGTCCACGTGTGCCGTGCGCGCCCAGTTGCGCTGTTGCTCAACTTTCTTGGCTGGAAAAAAGAAATGTTTTCTTCTCCCAGTAAAAGAAACTCCGAGACTACGCGGAGGAACGTCGGTTGCCAAAGGGGCCTTGGCAGGCGGCTGGGTTCCACGGCGGCTTCCGCAGCGGGTGCGGGGCTCCTCAGCCTGCGCGGGGCTGCTCCCGGATCTGCGATGACGCCTCTGCGTGGAGGCGGCGGGGCACCAGCTGCGGGGGGGGGGGGGGGGAAGGCGGTGGTCGCCGAAGGGGCGTCGATGCCGCAGCGTCGCCCCTCCCCCCGCCCCGCCCCTTCGTTTTGCATAGTTCTGAGAGTTCCCAGATTAAAAACAAAATCCCACTAGCACACTCCTATGACCCTACCGGACTCTTTTTTAAATAAAAGGACCATATAACAGCATTGAACAATCATTTTGTTTTTAATCTGTCTGCAAATCATAACACGATCGATGGGCAAGACACCGTTGGGTTAGGTAATGAGATCCCCGTCCCCAGAGGCATGCAAGCCAAGATGGGGTCTACAGTGCCATAAGGAGATTTTTCTTTTTTTCTCTTTCCTTCTTGTCTCTGGAAGGGGATTGGACTGAAGGAGACTCCATCCAGCCCCCTGAAGCGCTGAGATTCTGGTTGTGCTCCTATGTTTATTACGTTTTTAAAAATCGACAGTGTGCCATCTAAGCCCTTCGCTCACGCTGCTCGCCAGAGCGGGGAGTGGCCGCTGAGCCTGCGGAGAAGGCAGGCAAGGCTCCTTTCTGAACCCCGCTGCCCGCGCGGGTCCCCCTGGGCCCCTGCGTGCCGGGTACCCGGACTGCGGCAGCAGAGTCGGTGACCCCCGCCCCGACCCACCCCCGCCAGACCGTCGAGCCCGCGGGAGGCCGGCTTCCCAGCCGTTCCCCGGAGGACAGCTCCTTTATGAAGCAGCCCTGGCTCCGCAGAGCTGAACGGCCTCCAGCCCCCGCCCCCCGCGCCTGGCTGCGCCCGCCTTCCTCGCAGGGCCAGCGCGAGCCCGGGCTCCTGCGCGCTGTCGGTTGAGAGGGGTCGTCAGGCTGGAGTCAGAGTCTGAAGATCAACGCAGGCCAGTGTGGACCCGCCATGCGCTCTCTTTGGGGACGCCAGGGGAGGCCGTCCGGGCGACCCCAGTCTGATCGCTGAAAGGGCTCCTTTTTTTGGTTCGTGTTTTCCTCGAGCGCACAGGGCCCATCGATGTGGCTCCCGGCGGCCCGCGGGGCACAGCGATCCTCGGGCACTATGTACACGCAGCCACGCCCGCGGGCTGGGAGGCGGCGTGCGCTCCCTCCCGCTGGGCTACAAGCCTCTCTGGGTCCCGCTGGGTTCCTAGGCGGCCTCCGCGGCCTCTGCCAGCCCGGCGACCCCCAAGCGCCCCCCGGAGGGTCCCGGCTCCTCCGAAAACTGCAGCTTGCCCGCGCGCCGAGAGTGTCGCAGTGCCTGACGACCAAGGACCACGCTGCCGAAGGCCTCTGGGTAGACTGCGTGCCACCCCGCCCGTCCTCAACACCCCCCCCCCCCCCGCACACACGCCGGCAGCCCTCATGCCCCCTTTTCCGCGCTTCTCCGCCAGAGGCCTTCTCCAGGCCTCGGAGCAGAAGCGGCAGCGGGGGCGGGGGGCGTGGAGAGGGGCGGCCGCAGGTGGGAGGGCGCGCGGAGTCCCCGAACCCCGCGGGCCGCAAGCCCGGCCGCCCCTGGCGCTCGCGCCGCGCGGGCCCTGCGCGCACCATTCATGGTTTTTATTAATCTCCAGCCTCCCATGCTCTTTACGCTGCCCGCCCACAGAAAAGAAAAGGCCATTCTTGAAATCGCCTGAAACGTAATAATATTCATTAAAGTGGCTCCTAATTACGAGATGTAATCAAGCGTGGTGCGCCGTGCTCGGCTCTGGCTGGTGAGGCTGACGGTGACGGCGTTATTATTATTGTTGCTGCTCTTGGCCACGTGCTCGGCCGCAGGGCTGAGGTTCCCCTCTGCCGCTTAGGCCGAGCCCCGCAGAGAGATTTGGGGGAGCACCAGGATAGAAGGGGGGGCAAGCGACACCGGAGTCTCGGGGGGAACAGGTGTGACTCATGCCTGTCGCCAACCCAGCCAGGCCGTGCAATGTCTGGGCAACAGCTCTGGGCACAGCGAGGCTATCCGCAGACCCAGGGGACGCCAGGCCCGTTTTCTGGGATGGGGGCACCTTGGGTGCAGAGCCAGGGACCTGTCCCACGGGCCCTACCACCCCCTTTCCGGGCTGCGCACCGCGCTTTGGCGGAGCAGGAACAAAGAGGGGCCGCGATCAGCAGCCTCCCCCTCGGCCCGGAAGGCGTCCCCGAGGAGCGTCCTCCCGCCCCGCGTCCCAGACCCCGGGCGGGAGGAGCAGCCAGGGCTCAGGGGCCGCGCCGCGGCCCGCCCGCAGCGCCGGCTCCTCCGCAGGGGGCGTCCGGGGCGGGGCGCGGCCGTCAGGGCCCGGGAGCGGGGGGACCCTGGGGCAGCCGAGGCGCTCCGTGGGGCGGAGGAGCGTGGGGATCACCCGAGCCCTGCGCGCCTGCAAGGCTCGGGCGGCCGCCGCTCGTCCCCATCTGTCGAGCTGAGAAACTTGGCCGCGCGGTCGCAGCGCGCGGCCCGCGCGGAAGGGCCGCCCAACGCCTTTCAGCGGCGCGTTCGGGGTTCTCTGCTCCCGCCAAGTCCTTTGTCTGCGAGGGGACTGTCAGGCTCTGCCGCCGGGGTTTACCCTCCTCCTCCCCCATCCTCTGCCCCTCCGCCAACTCCCCCTGCTCTGCTCTGTGGATGGGTAATCACAGGCTCCAGCTGCCCAGGCGCCCAGAAGCGGCCGCCCCGTTTCTGCGACTGTCGCCCCTCCCGCCAGCGGGCTGGCCGCTTCCCTCCACCTCGCAGGACCCGGCCCCCCGCCGGTCTCCGGGGGCGGGGGGTAGGGGGGTGGGGGGAGGTGGCGAAGCCACATTGCATCGGAGTTTTCCCTTTGGGCCAAAAGTTTGTCCCCCTGTTTTTTGTTTTTGTTAGGTTTACTCTCTCCATGCCCCTCAGCAAAATGTGCATCCTGCAAGCTGGCGTGTCTTTAAGGCTCAGGCAGCCGGGGAGATGGCAGATCAGCCAGGCTTTGGCACCGCTGGGCCCGCCAAGGCCGCCGTGAGCGTGAGTGCTGGTGAGGTGGCCCAGCAGGCGTCTCTGGCCCCCATGCCTGCTCTGGTGGCACCGATCAGGTTAGGCCTTCCCCTGCCGAAACCACTGGAGGAAAACAGATGAGCTCTCCACCCTGGGCACGGACCACGGCCACCGGGACGGGCCGGAGCCTGCAGAGAAATCCCTGGGCCAGCTGCTCCCTGAGGCCCGCAGGTCCAGCTCAGGCGCCTGGGCTCCAGAACCGCTCAGGGTTCGCGGTTTTCACACAAATACTTACAAAACATCCCTTAGCACCAGAGGAAGTGGAAAACAAGGAGTTCTGTAACCAGGTGTTCAGGTGTTACTCGCCCCGC